TTATCAATTGTTTCTACATTTTCTTGAGACGATAAGTTTTCTTCTTCTTGTAGTTCATGTGTACTGTATTTACGAATTTCCATTTTTAATTTAGAGTAAAATTCATCAGTTAAAGACATTTTTATTTCTAAAAAGAGAGAACAATTAGACATACTATATTATAATAGAATATAAATTAAAAATAAATATACTTTATACTACCATTCTCATTATTAATTTTCCATATGTCTGTAATTCGATCTAGAGATACTAATAATTCAACACTTTGTCCCATACGCTGCATTTTTTTAATTAGAATTTGCATTATTGGATCTGCTAAACACAGATCATCTAAAGGTCTTAAAGAAAATGCTTTATAATGTTCATTATTTTCCAATGATGAATCATTAAGAAATCTGAATGAAAGAGGGTAGTTACGACATTTTACAGTTTCAATCTACATTAAAATACTTTTACCTGACAATTATAAATTCTTCTCTCCAATCTTCAAATCGTCCTTCACCTAACCATGTATCGATTATATTTAAATAGACGCTAAGACTACACAAATATAAGCTAGCACAAATGTTCGATCGTCTTCGATTGTGCGATTTCTGTATTTCAAAATATAGAGATGACAATAATTTAGACGCACATATCCAATTGGGTTGAACTTTCCAGTCATGTATAACTTTTTGATGAACTTCATACAAAATCTTTATATTGTACAAACGTTTCTTCAGAAGAGTTGATAAAGACAAAAGTGTGAGAGATTCGTCTGGAAAAACAATACAATGAGCTATGGTATGATCATAATTTCGTTGATTGTATTTGGATACCTATATTTGTTGTACCTTGTTTCATAAACATTTTTTCTATATCAATTATTTCATTTTTAAATTTCATTAAATGGTTTCCTAGTGCTGCATTATATGCTTCATATGTGAAAGGTGGCTTTTTGTAAAGACGACTCTGTTTAGAATATATTTCTATACCAAACTGTTCTATTTCATGTATCATAGCAAAATATTTGCAAAATGGTGAGAGTATACTGTTGAAAGCAACCTAAAATTTTCTAGTAGTAATGTTTATGAATAATAAAGAATCATGTATGTTATATACAGTAAACAATCAATGAGACATACTTACTGTTGTTAAGCTTGGTATAGATATATTAGGACGAATAAAGAAGTCTGTTTCATCATTTTGTTGAAATACTACCATACACATTGGAGTATAAAACATCCATAATAGTTCTCTGCATACTGAATATTCACTGAGTGTTCCGAAAGTACCATAATCTGTCTCTGTTGCTTTACGCCTATATTTGATGTTAATATAATGATGATAATAATAGTATAAGAAAATAATTTTTTGTATAAAAATATAATTACCATATTTCACAAAGATGGGCATCGCAGAACTGAGTCTTTACTGGATACTTTCGCCATTCTAATTCATTCCACCATGTGTTTTGAACATTAGATGCTAACCAATTTCTAGATTTAAGCTCTTCAGTTAAAGCTACAGATAGTGTGCTTAATTCTCTTTTAGCAGTAACAGATATACACATTGTTTTATCTGAATCTTTAAGATTTGTTGATATTTGAAGTTGTGTGCTTATGTCAGTAACATCTTCATCATTATCAGACCATTCCTACAAAAAATGTAACGTGTTAATTCTATTAAAAGTTGGTATTATTTAAATATTATGTAATACTAAGCATTGAAAGTATTTACACTTTCAGAATCACTTTTGTAATCATCAAAAAAATGTTCTTGTCCATCTCTTAAATATTGAGCCCAATCAATTTCTTCTGTAGCTTCACTTTCATTTTCACCTGTTGCATTAAAAATACTTTCTCCTCGTGTTAGCTTTAAACATTCCAAATTGGATTTACTAGTTTCCTTGGACAATTCCAATAATAATGTTAATAAACACCATTGCAAATCATATTGTGGATGCTGTTCAAAATCAAAGCTTGATAAAAATGTATCAACATATTCTTCAAGCTTTTTTGCTACATCATATTTTCCATGAATTGAAAACTTTGTAATCAAAGCTTTAATAGCTTCCTTTGTAGTGTTACTATTCACAGATAAGAATCGATGATGTTTAATGTTTGTCATACAAAACCGTTCACAAACTTGAAAACCCTCCTCATTTTGCTGTAATTAGGGAAGCGTTATTATAACATTTGTTAATCTAATTCAAAGGAGGTACTTTATCATATTTAATTATGATAGTACCTCAAAAGAAGTTATTGCCGTTATTAAATACTTCATATCAT